CGACGATGCGCGATTACAGACAAATCTAGACCGCCTCGAACAATGGTTAAACGAACGGCTTCTACACTTTAACGTAAGCAAGTATGACTTCCTACGCGTCGACGGAGCCAGTTCACCTAACCGCATGGTCAAACATCCGACTGGCAAGAGGTTGACGCCCAGAAGGACATGGGTGTATGGATCACAACCTCGCTGAAGCCTTCGCCAAGTCGACGATGTCCATTCTATACCTCGTCAGACGGGCGTTCTCTCCCTTTGATGAAGACTCCTTCGCCAAGGTCTTTCGAACTTTTATGCAACCGCATCTGGCTTTCGCTACCCAAGCATGGAGACCCTGGACCGCTAAAGACCTCAGCGTACTCGAAAAAGTTCAGCGGCTATCAACGAAACTTGTATCTGGGCAGTGGTCACTACCCTACGAAACGCGATTAGCTAATCTTGACCTCCTTACTTTGAGTCACAGACAGCTACATGGGGACCTGATACAAGCTTTCCGCATCGTGCGCGATCAGGGCTGCTGCCTCGGGTCAGGAGTCTTCTTCGAGTTGACGACAACGACTAAGCTGAGGGGCCATCCATTCAAACTACGTGTGACTGGTGCCCGTCTAGACACACAAAAGTTCTTCTCTACCAGAGTGGTTTTAGCTTGGAATGCTTTGCCTAAGGATGTTGTTATGTCACGATCCGTAGACACCTTTAAACGGAGGCTAGATCAACATTGGAGTGCGCACCAAAATAACTCCGGACTACAGCCATCTTGATTGCCAACGTTGACAATTTAGTGTTATGATGATGCCACTTCCAATATTTAACTAGCACCCGCCTCTGTAATTCATTATTTTTAGACCACTTCGCACACCACTGCTCGCATTCACCAAGATGTTTGTAGACTAAAAAAATTACTACTTTTCCAACTATCTGCTGTATTTAATCAACAAACCGAGTTCATATTCTTTTAAATACTGTTAACGCATTAAATTCTGTCTTCATCTGTAGAGTTTTTGTTATTCTCTTTGTATTTCTTTCATGTTACTTCCTTTCCATTTTCTCCATATACTTCCTCCGCATGTAAACAATAGGAGTTTCAAAGCTACAAACCTACTTTTCCTGAAATACACTGAAACTGAAAATGCTGAGATATCGAGGTCAACCCGACAAATTCGTAACCATTTGCGCGAACGAAGTCTTCGTAAAGGTCAGCATTCTGATGAGTTATGCTGGGGAAGAGCGGAACCCCTCGAAGCTGTGCCATGCAGCGACAGGATATCGGCGAAACACGCATGTCTGGGTTTTTAGCTAGTATAGTATCCTCTAACGTTAAAATATACTACTAGCTGCTTGTTGGCAGTTTATGAATATTAGGCGGTCATCCGACTGTGGCTTATGGACTTCGGCCCCAATATTCATGCATCGAATTTCGGTCGGCGCCGTGGATCTTGGTATAAACTGATCTACTCCAAGTTGGCAGTTAATTTCGAAGGAAATTTAAAAACGACGAATTAAAGAGTCCTCGTTCAGCTACCACTTACAGTGTGCATGTATCTTCAGGAGTTCAGTGGTGAGTGGTCAGATGACATCCATCAGCCATGGTTTCGACTTACTACCAGCATGTGGCACTCAAGAAGTGAGCCATCTAAAATCGGTGGTTCACGGGGCCCCAGCCCGAAATATCGGACCTTCTACATTACAGACAGAAATACATCAAACCGAGGGGTCTACAACGGAAACGTTTACGCCCATCTGTAGTTCAAAGTTTCATGTTGGCATGAGGGTGAACAAATGCGCAGCAACCAGACACAAGCCATGTACTTACATTTGGCCCTCTCAAAATGAGCAGCGAGAAAGGAATGTTGTGTATTAAATCAGAGGGGACGTTGATGCAGACATGCAGGCCGAGCACGAGCTCTTGGTGGTGGCATTTTCACAAAGACAAACATGCGAGGACTCGGAAAGGGTGAAAAA